TCTGGTTAGCAGTCAAGTGCCTTAGGCACTATGCTACCAGAGCTCCTAGGGGAATTTTATATCAAGGATATATCAAAGAAATTGATTTATAAACTTTTTTTTTTTTTGCATTTGCACTTGGGAATATGCTTTTTCAATGACTGGATTCCTCTCGTCTGCCTACAGGGTACATCCGTCACCAGTATCGAGAGTCCGTGGAAATCGAATGAATAATCAGAAATTTGCTTGGTGAGTGTATAATCTAAGTTTTGAGTATTAGAAAATCTTAGAGGAAATTTTTATAAGGCTATGTGACAAGTAAGAAAATTACCCTTGCTTTTCTGTAGTGAATGAATTTCTTAACTGGAGTATGTATTCTTCTTTGCCTTGGGACAGTTCTGAATTAAATACTGATAGAGTCGCTTCCTAGCCAAAATTCTTCCCTCTCAAGAAACTGTGAATACAAGAATTTTCCTAACAGATATACAGTACTTTTTGGAATTATCAAATGTTTATTACATTTTTAGAGAATGTGGCTTTCCTTTTATTGAAGATGTTGTAGGTTTTTTAGTGAGATTTAGGCAACAACTCAGATTTTTCTCAGATACCAAGTCCAATTTCTCACAAAAATTTTCACCGTTAGCTAATCTATTATATTTTGTTGATTACTATTTAGATACCTTTTCCTGGTTAATGTATTTTTATGTAAATAACATGCATGCTATATAAGTGGGTGTTTGGTTTTTGGTGGCAAACCATGCAACTCTCTCACATGTTAGTTTCCTATGAGGGCTCTACATGTTATATGAGTGGATATGTTATTTTTGCAGGCACAAAATTAGTAAAAACAATACAGTATAAACTTAAGTATCCAGGGTTTTTATTTATTTGTTTTTAATTTGAGTCATACTAAAATCTTCCTTACTGACTCTAGTTCTTAGATTAAGAGTATAGGTGTAATGTCAGAAACAACCTAAATAGTTATTTCAGCCATAAAACATTGATTATTGATTCTTTGAAGAGATTTAAAGCAATAAATTTTCTTGTTTATCATAAAATAAGTTACTGTATGCTAAAATTCTTATTTGTTACTTTTCTCCATGTCACAAATAATGACTCTTTGGTACATAATATATCTGCAAAGAAGAAGAAAGAAACATAAAAGAAAAAAAACAGAAAACATGGAATTGTCTACTGTATTACCTGAGAGATTAATGAAAATTCACCATCTCCATTTTCTTCATTGCATTGTCTTTAAATGGAATTTTGATTAAAAGCTATTACATTTTTTTTTTTTAATGTGGAAAGATGATTGCCATAGATTGGAGCATCCAAATTAATTTTGTACCTAGAAGTCAGGATTATTTTCAGATACAAAATAATACTTTGAGTTGGAATAGTGCCTAATCAACTCACCTCTCTTCCTCCATTAAAACTAATTAACCCTCACAATAGCTTGGAGATGTTGTTAAATGTTATTCTTTTCTTTTTCACAAAGGGGGAAATGGAGCACAGAGGGTATAGCCATATGCTTACATCCTGCCTACAAGGCTGGGCAGTCCTCATGGTTTGTCACAATCACTAATGCATATTGTCCCCTGTCAGACCTGGAAAGAGGAAGGCATAGTGATGCAGCTGGTCATTACATGAAGGAGAGGGAAAAATCAAGCCCATTCCTTGACTGCATGGAATGCATGGTCCTTCTCAGGTCAAAGCATACCGTGCCAAAGAAACTTCTTTACATACGGAAACTGTGAAACACTCAAGTGAATAACATAAGTTAATGGATAGTGTACAGAATTGTCAGTCATGAGATTCTGTTTCTACAACTTCTTTCTCAGTGGCTTAATGTGAAACAGAGAATAAATAAATTCTCTTCACTTTCTGTATGGAGGAATGGAATAAAGCTAACTTGTTTCTACATAATTCATAGCACATTGTTTGGTTAGTAAGTTTAAACCATTTTTATCTCTGGAGAAGTAATCTGTGAAAAACAAAAAGGATCTTACTACTAGCCTTGAGAAAATTCAGCTTTTATTTATTCAGCAACATTTATTTACAGTCCAAAGCACTATAAAAAACACTAGATTAGAAAGATAAATAAAACATGGTTTCTGTTGTCAAGGTGCTCACTATCCTGAGGGGAGCTTGTGTGTGTAGTCACCTACACATATACATAATACTCTGTGTCACACACATAAAATATATAATAATAATCACACAAACACAAAAATACTGTATAATTAAGTGTGGATAGTGCTGGAAGAAGATATATTTATAGAACTCCTACTCCTCATGTGCTCCTCACTTATCAACTGTCTTATTATCTGACATTTCTCATTTATGACAATAATAAAAAATCAACTTAAATCTCCTTGGGAGCTCTTATGGCATAGTGCCTGAGACATTTGACTGCTAACCAGAAGGGGCAGTTCAAACCCACCAACCACTCCTAGGAAGAAGACTGGGCAATCTACTTCCATAGATACCTCCTCAAAAACACAAGGAGGGGTCTCTATGAGTCAAATCAACTCGATGGCAGTGAGTTTGTTTTTTTTTTTTTTTTTTTTTAAATCATCTTAAAGCCAGGTAAAGACCCACATGTTTTGCATGAGAGAGTGCCTCCATCTGAGCCCCATCTCTTTGATCCGTCCCATCCCAGTCCTTTCCCCAGTCTTGGATATGAATAAAGTTAGAAAAGAAAAAAACAAAATGGCCAGATGCCAGGACCTCAGGCCCTTACTCTGCATGCATGTTCCATGGCTTCACCAGATCCCAGCTAGGCTCCCAGACTGGTAGCTTTCCTGCTGTCCAAGCTTAAGTGTGATTCTGAGCCAGAGTCTACGAAAAGGTGGTAGGAGGGGCGCAGACAGGATGCCTAGCAGTCACTTCACTGCAGACTCTGAGATCTGCTGTTTGTGCGCTTGGGGATGCTGAAGCTAGCAGCTGACAGTCTCGGGTTGTTGTTGTTATGTGCTATCGAGTCAGACCTGACTCATAGTGACCCCTCCTTGGGTTTTTGAGACAGTATCACTACGGAAGTAGATTGCCCCATCTTCTTTCCAAGGAGTGGCTGGTGGGTTTCAACTGCCATCCTTCTGGTTAGCAGTCAAGTGCCTTAGCCATTATGCTACCAGAGCTCCTGCAGTCTCAGGTGCTCAGGTGGGTGAGCTTTTTTTTTTTTTTTTAAATTACAATTTGGGTGAAAGTTTACAGAGCAAATTAGTTTTCCATTCAATAGTTTGTACACAGTTTGTTTCATGATGTTGATTGCAAGCCTGATAAAGTAACAGCTCTCTTCCCATTTCTTCCCTGTGGTAACGTTTTCCCTGTATCCTTCTTTCCTGTGCTTTCCTGCCCTCTGAGTTATCTCCCTGTGCAAATGCTGCCCTTCTGATCTCCTATGGTTGATTGATCTAAGGAGTGTACCTCCCTCCTATAATTGTTCACCTGTCTATTGGCCTGTCTGTTGTTTGACTGAAAGGTAAGCTAGGGGACTGAGTTCAGTTCCAGGCCCAAAGGATGATTAGGGGCCATAGTCTTGGGGGTTTCATCAGTCTCTTTCAGACCAGTAAGACTGGTCTTTTTTTTTTTTTGTTATTTTGAGTTTTGTTTCTCCTACTCTATGTAGGATCTCAAATTTTGATCCCTTTCCTTGTGGTTGGCAGTGATAGCAAGGCACTGTCTAGTTCTGGTCTCAGGGTCGTGTAGGCTGAGGTGTTCCCATGGTCCACTAGTCTGTTGGACTAATTGTTTACATGTCTTTGATTTTCTTCATTCTTATTTGCTCCAGAGAAGGAGAGACCTATAGTTGCATCTTAGATGACTGCTCACTAGCTTTTAAGACCCAAGTCGCTATTCACCAAAGTAGGATATAAAACAATGTTTTTGTGTAGTATGTTATCCCAGTTGAACTTGATGTCCCCTATGATCATAGTCACAAATCAGCAGGCCAGCAGCTCACTCCCTCAAGATATTTGGTTGTGGCTAAGAAGTTATCATAACTTTGTTTCCTGTTTACTCTATTATATATGTGGAGATTTTTGTAGCACTTAGAGATACGTATGTAGAAATACTACCTGCCAGAACTATATATGATCATGTGTATTTTCCTGTTCACCTACCCATACCTGATATCTTGCCTGTCTACATATGTATCCTCTTGTAGATTAGTGTTTATTACTGAGTATGCAATATTGAATATGTAATAGTATTTAACTTTGATGTCTGTACGTCTTGTGTACCTCTTTGTGTCTTCCTTTTCCTTAGTGATATTGTGGTGGTCACCTGTTTTTGTTATATTGTCTTTCCCTTTACTGGGTGGATGAGCATTTTAATAGAGAGCAATGAGTCCCCATGAAACTCAATGAGCAATGAGGTCATAGAGACCTCTATGAGTCTCCTCCCAGCTATCCGTCCTGAGCCAATCAGCTCTGCCTGTAGTGCCAAATGACACAAGCCAACCCATCGACCTGATATAAGAAAATTACAGTGTGAAGACTAGGGAGTGGTAGGTGGTAGCTGTAGGGCAAGGAGCAGCCCCATGGGGCCACCTCTGGAATGACTCCTAGAACTGAGAAGCATTTGGTCACTGAAGTTTCGCATAACCGATTTTCGTGTAATGACCTGGTCTCTGAAATCTAACCATGTCTGTAAGTGAGAAGTCAATGTATAAATTGAGAAGGAAGAGTCATCAACTGTGTTTAATCCCAGTTTGCAGTGAGTAGGTAAGGAATGGGAAGAATAAAAAGGAAGGAAGGGATCTGTCAAAATACCCATCTCAGAGAGGATGGTTTTAAGTACAGATCTAGAATTAGTATAAACCATTAATTGAGATAATAGTTGAGTTGAGAAAATACTTTCTTTATAGACAGATCTGAAGATATTTCTAAATTAACTACAGTAAGAACATATGTGGATTTAATATGTGTACTTTATTTGACCATGAGTTAGCCAAAATTTCTATTACATATACTATCATGAATCTTAAGTAAATACTGTGAGGCTGATTGTTGTTGTTGTTATGTACCATCAAGTCATCTCCAACTTGTAGTGACCTTATGTACAACAGAACAAAACACTGCCCAGTCTGTGCCAGCCTCATGATACCTACTATACTTGATCCCTTCGCCGCAGCCACCATGTCAGTCTACCTCATTGAGGGTCTTCCCCTTTTTCACTGACCCTCCACTTTACCAAGCATGACATCCTTCTTCTGAGAATGATCCCTTCTGACAACATGACCAAAG